ATGCATGTGTAGTTCAAGAAACAAATTTTACGTTGTCGTTTGTGTTTTTGGGTGGTTTAGATGATGAGGATCTGAATGAGTATAATTGAAATCCTGTCACAAATATCTATTTATCTGTCTTATATAGATGAATGTATATGTATATATGTATGTATGGGTTTGTGTTTGTATTTTTTGTTTTATACGGCAAAAAGTTTTATATTTTCATCTTTTTTTTGATGGTTTAGTGATGATAATGATCCGAATGAGTTTAATTAAAAAAACCACTTATCACAAATGTCTCTCCCTCTCTATATACAGTTGAAAATAGATACTATGTGTGTGTGTGTGTTTCTATTTTTATGCTAGTTGAATAAATTCTTATTGTTTTGTGACGGTTTAGTGATGATGAGGATTTGAATGAGGAGGACCCTTTGGAGTTTGATGCCGGGTTTGGTAATATTATTGTGGTGGATAATCTACCAGTTGTTCCAAAGGAGAAATTTGAGAAGCTGGAGGGAGTAGTTCGGAAGATATACAGTCAAATAGGAGTGATAAAAGAGGATGGGCTTTGGATGCCTCTTGATCCTGCCACCCAGAAAACCCTTGGGTACTGCTTCATCGAGTACAATACTCCTCAGGTACCATTTCTTAATACCATTTTTGTCTCTCTATATTGCACAATTGACTTTTTCACTAGTTAACAAATTTCTACATTTGTACATACTAGTCAATGGCACCACATAATCTTTAGGCTTGGAAGTATTATGAGCAATTTAAATTGGAACTTCCTTTAGCAGATAAAAGAAAATACTTACTTTTGAGTAATTTTTCAATAAGGAACTCAGCCTAGGCGTACAAATTATAATTGTCTATTTTTGTATTTATGTTTAGGTGTGCGTATATGTACATCAGTACATCTACTTGTATATTTACATAAATGTACATATACTTAACTACATAACAGCTCTGTGCATGCCTTTTCGGCAAATCCGAAGATCACTACCTTGACTCAGCAGCTGCTACACCTGATGGTTATATGCACACAAAGTACGCTAGGTGATGTTTGTGTCCCTTTGCTACATATTTATGTGTTCAACTTGAAGCCGTGCATGGTTGTGTAGGTGTTTAAATAGGACTTCATTTTAAATCCTTTTATGGAGATTTCTTTTGACTTGGGAAGGAAAAGAGAAAGGTTCTACTTTTTAGTTCAACTCATGACTATGTTGGCTATTTGGATTGGGTATTTTATGGAGCTTGACATTCTGGGATGTCTTGTTGATGATCAGAAGCATATGAAAGGGTCTTAACACAGGCAGGTTCACATGTCTGAATGGAAGTCTTTTTTTTCATTGCAAATCCCAATTGAGCCAATCAGCCAAACAAATTCAAACTTGGGAACACCTTTTGGTCAATGTAGGCTGAGTTAAGACTGGGGGCAATGTGTCTCTTGGGGTTGTAATAACCTTTTATTTCCATGATAAAATCCCCAATTGAAACCTGGCTAGTGATTTCCAAACCTGGCTAGCCTAAGTCCTCTTCAATTGAAACCTGGCTGAGTAATTTCCATGATAAAATCACCTTTTATTTTAGAAATTTTGGTATGTGTTGGAATTTTGATGTGTACTGCAATCCAACCTGGTTGAGTAAAACGTACTCAAACTTTAGATGAAGCAATGTACACTGTGGTAATAATGTGGCTACATGTCCCTTGGGCCTTTGGCATGAGCCAGCCATTTCCGCTGAAGCTTATCTAATAGTCTACGAGATGAAAGTTCCTAGTATTATTATATCTTTGAAGGTATTGTAATTACTCCCTCCCTCCAGACATTTGGACTTTACCTTTTCTTTTTTTGACGTTCCTGATGAAGAGTCTACTTAAAAGGAAATTCAAAGGTTAGATAAGTTCCCTAAACTGTCCTTTTGGATTGGTCTTGGCAAGTTCCCCTACAAGCAAACATTGTGATTTAATTTGAAGCAAAAAACTTGAATTTCTTGCTTGACAGTGGTGCATTCAAGGCATATCTCACTAAAAAAAATTGGGAGTCCAAAGGACTCTAATTTTTTTTGGTAGATGGATTAACCTATTTTTACCTCAGAATCTAGGAATCATATTTTGAGTACTCAATTGATCTTCTTTTTTCAGTCATTTATTTTTCTCAAAAGTACCCAACTACTTGTGTAGTGGTAATTTTTAGTTATGCTTCTTACAAGGATTATGAGCTTGTCATACTACTCTCAAGGACCAAGAATTGGCTTCTAACAAACATGTCAATTAATTTCCTCTACAACCTCTCTGTAATATCTGTACCTGCACATATATGTAGATATTATTTGGATATCATTTTGTGCACATCCAAACTCTGGAACTTGGGTCACGTGCTTTCCTGGAGAGTGGATTATTTTTTGTTTGTGCCAAATGTAAGTACTTGGCCTGATTGGTAGTTTATGATTGAAGATTTGTGAGAGTATATGTGCACATAAGGCACGTTTGGTTGATAAAAGATTGGAGAGCTATAGGCAGTTTTTCCATCAGATTTTCGTTTATAGTCTTAAAGTGTTGTCATTTGCTAATTTTCATAAACTATTTGTTTCTTTTAATATAAAATATCTATCGGTTAATATTTGAGTTCCTTTCTTCTCTGCAATGATACTTTCTCCAAAAGTAATTTTTTATGTATTTGGTTTATCATGGCTGGCCATTTTAGGAAGCTGAACTTGCTAAGGAGAAGACAAATGGATACAAGTTAGACAAAGCACATATATTTGCTGTGAATATGTTTGAGGACATCGAGAAGTTCTTGAAAGTTCCAGATGAGTGGGCTCCTCCTGAAACTAAACCATATGCACCAGGGGTAGGTAGTTAAATCTGTTCTTATCATGTTTTTGATTCCAACACTCTTTCTTCTCTGTTTTTGATATACTCTTTTAGGATATTTGATTTGCTGGAAATCACAACATAAATTTCACCAGAATCTAGACAATATATTATGACTGACAAGTGTCTGCCTGAGTTAATTTGTGCAATGAGCTTAGATATCCAGTGGTTAATAATCAACACACCTGATTTGTTGGCTGCTTCTATGATGTTTTCTTAAATACAATTTTCGAAAACATACAAGATTTTAAAATGCCATCGCATTCTTACCTCATTAAACTTGTGATCTGTATCTTTAATGTTATGAATGTTTAAGTGAATTTGGAGTCATTGTGATTTATTATTTCTCCTGTTAAATTTGGTATTGTTGGAAAGTTTCAGTTTCGTAGGTACGAATTCCCACATTAAGGCTTCTTTTGAGTTGTTTTTGGTATGTGCTATTGTTGCAAATTATTATAGTTGCTATATGTAAAGGAGGGCTTGATTTTTAGTTTTTAATGTTTGATTTTAGCTGATACGTGAGGGTATTAAGAGGGTTCTTTGTATGATGCTGTGAAAGATAGGCAAATTTACTTACTGAAGAAAAGGGTGAGCTATTTTGAAGTGTGTAGTTCCTTCTTGTGGGGTAGAGTAGACTTGTTGTTGGCTTGTCAAAAAGGAATATTGTAGGTCCTTAAAAAATGTCTGGTTTTGGTAGGAGCTGCACAGATGTTTTGCAATCCACAGTTAAACAGAGCAGTGTGATTAAGGAAGTTTGTCTAATAGAGTAGGGTGTGCTGAACCCCTCGAGTGGGACGAACGGAAGCGGTAATGTAATTAATGTGAGGAGTGTGAACATAGCTTGTCTACAAGAATTTGGGAGTAGTGAAGAAAATTTTACATAGAATGAGTATCCATTTTAATGACTTTGTTTCCTAGAAACTCAAACAGAGTTGTATGATAATAACAATCTATGAACGATAATGCAGTGGAGGTGTGATTAAGAGTTTGAGACAAGGGAGGAGATTGAATAATATTTCCTTTTGTCATGCTGAAGATGCCACCTTTAATTGGATTGTCTGTGTACTTTAAGGGATAGGATTGTAAGAATTTTCAAATGGCAATTTTGGAGAGAAGATCGATAATTATGAGGATCGCAGTCATGAAGAGAACAAAATGCAGTTAAGAGGCTTTCATATGATTATGTTATTGAGATACTATAGAGTACAGGGGGGAATTTTCAGAATAAAACACGCGTGAAATGCCTTTCTAGGCTTTGCGTTATTATGACACATTGCCTCAAGTTTTTTTATAGATTTCTCTATGCCATCATATGCATAATTAAAACGTCTTGCATCCTCAATTTCCAAATTGGTTTCACTTTGCTCCTTCCGTCAATTGTCTTAAGACTATTGGGCGTAGAAATGAGACATTTCCATGTGTTATTTTTCTGTCCGAGATATTACAATGATGCCATCATTTCCATCCAACATTCCACTGGAATTTGATGGAAGATGTAGAGTGAAACTAATTCCAAAATTGGAATGTGCAATGTGTTTTATTGAAAGTTTGGGGGTAAAGTGAAATTTTAAAATACTTAATGGGACAAAGTGTAATTATTAACTTACTATGCAAACTTATCATTGGAAAGACAATCTTTAATCACTCCCACCTTGTTTTTCTTTTTTGCATTTTTTTTTTGGGGGTGGGGGTGGGGTGAAGGGAAATCATTTAATCCATTACTGCACCAGTCCTGTTCTCTGTCCCTCATCCTTCCTCTCATATCTTGATGCTTTTATTTTATTCTCGCATGATTTTTGCAGGAAAATCTACAACATTGGCTTACTGATGAGAAAGCTAGAGATCAGTTTGTTATTCGCGCTGGTTCTGACACGGAGGTTTTATGGAATGATGCGAGACATTTGAAGCCTGAACCTGTTTATAAACGTTCTGTAAGTAGACATACTTTTGTTATTCTCATTTTATAAGCGTGTGTGCTCGTGTGTGTTGGCCATATCCTGGTTTGTTTATTTTCTGTTATAGCAAGTCCCAAGTATTGTTCAGTTAGAGATGAATATTTAGTTGCAGTACACTGCTCTTGATGTTTTTGATGTATCAATACCTATTTCTTTTTTGCCGTAATTTTGATTGTTTAGTGTGGATGATGATGATGTCTTATTGGTGCAGTTTTGGACTGAAAGTTTTGTACAGTGGTCCCCACTTGGGACTTACTTAGCCACAGTTCATAGGCAGGGTGCTGCTGTATGGGGGGGTGCCACTTCCTTTAACCGCCTTATGCGTTATGCTCATCCACAGGTTACTTTGGCTCTCGTTTTTAGTTACTTTTGTTGTTTGCCTTTGTGATTTTTAGTTTTAGTGGCATATATTGCAGGTAAAACTGATTGATTTTTCTCCTGGTGAGAGATTTTTGGTGACTTATAGCAGCCATGAACCGAGCAATCCTCGTGATACGCATGTAAGTTTTTCTACTGCTTTTGGTTTATTCTACTATATGATTGCCTTGGGAGATATACTTAATGTTGTTCAATTTATCCAGAGGGTTGTGTTAAATATCTTTGACGTGAGAACTGGAAAAGTGATGAGAGATTTCAAGGGAAGTGCAGATGAGTTTGCAATTGGAGGAACTGGAGGTGTTACAGGGGTGTCTTGGCCTGTTTTCAGGTGGTCATTCAGCACCACTGTAAATTTATACATTCTTGAAGATTTTCATTATTTGAATGTCTCGTGATTAAGGATGTACTGATTTCTCAGGTGGGGCGGTGGGAAAGAAGATAAATACTTTGCCAGAATTGGGAAAAATGTAATCTCTGTCTATGAAACTGAGACCTTCACTCTTATTGACAAAAAATCCTTTAAGGTGGATAATGTGATGGATTTTTGTTGGTCCCCAACTGATCCCATTCTTGCACTCTATGCACCTGAGCTTGGTGGTGGGAACCAACCTGCAAGGGTGAGTCCAAGTAAACCTTTTTTGCATCCTTCTGTCCCCTTTTTTTATGTAAGTTTTTCGGGGAGTCAAGTTTTTATGAATGTTCTGCATGCTATTTGTAGGTGAGTCTTCTTCAAATTCCAAGCAAAGAGGAGTTGAGGCAGAAGAATCTCTTCAGTGTTAGTGATTGCAAAATGTATTGGCAAAGCAATGGGGAATACCTTGCTGTTAAGGTTGACCGATACACTAAAACTAAGAAGAGCACATACACTGGCTTTGAGCTTTTCCGAATCAAAGAACGGGACATACCCATTGAGGTTTTTGAGCTTGAAAACAAGAATGACAAGATTATTGCATTTGCTTGGGAGCCAAAGGGCCACAGATTTGCAATTATCCATGGTGATGGCCCAAGGCCTGACGTGACTTTCTATTCGATGCGGAGCGCTCATAATGCAGGTCGATATTCAAAGCTCACAACTCTCAAGGGTAAGCAGGCAAATTCTCTTTACTGGTCACCAGCCGGTCGCTTCATTATACTGGCTGGGTTGAAGGGTTTCAATGGACAGTTAGAGTTCTACAATGTGGACGAGCTTGAAACCATGGCAACAGCAGAGCATTTTATGGCAACCGATATTGAATGGGATCCTACTGGAAGGTACTTCTGGGAATAATTTAAATGATTGTGCCTTGGAATTAGAGGTTGTCAACCCTATATTACATCCAGAAACATTTGCTTTAGTATGAAAAAGTGTTCATGCAGTGCAATTAGAAAAAACTTAAACCATTTGTTCACTTTTGTATAGTACTGATCTTGATATTTGGTCAAGTACAAGGTATCATTCCATTCTTATTATGGCACCTGTGGGCATTTTTAGGTATGTTGCTACGGCAGTTACCTCAGTTCATGAGATGGAGAATGGTTTCAACATATGGTCCTTCAGTGGAAAGTTACTGTATCGGATACCAAAGGATCACTTCTTCCAGGTAAGATGATTGAGTACTTGGTATTCTTTTTACCCTTGTTGACAAGTAGTAATAGTGCTATCTCTATCTATTCATAAAACAATCAGCCCACATAAGAATTCCTGGCTTTAAAGAGTTTTTGTTATGATTGCATGATGATTTCTGCTCAAATAACACGTGACACATAGTATAATGCCTTAGCCTAACTGATATTTTTGCTGTAAGTTGCTTATATTTTGGTGAGAAAACTGCCACTTCCTGGTCCAAGTTTTTGTTATTTTGATTCTTTCATGCTGATGATACAATTGCAGCAAGTTTTCAAATTTGCTTGGGGTGCATAAATTTGGTCAAATTTCTTTCTCTCACAAGCACATGACCTAACCATGTTGGGGGAACTACAACCGCCCCCTCACCTAAAAATCCCCCCTTCCCCTAAAGGTCCCAAAAAAAAAAAAATTCAACATTTAAGAATAATATTTTTTAAGCAAATTTGAACATTTGATTGTGGTGCATGAAATACATGCCCCTGCTCTCACAATGCACGACGTAACTGGGAGACTCTTCCCTCTCTTTTGGGTGTATTAATGCTTAATTTTCTTTTGATTATTATAGTTTCTGTGGCGCCCAAGGCCACCATCTTTCTTGAGCCCTGAGAAAGAGGAAGAGATTGCTAAGAACCTGAAGAAGTATAGCAAGAAGTATGAAGCAGAGGATCAGGATGTGTCGATGCTATTAAGTGAACAGGACCGTGAGAAGCGGAAGATGTTGAAGGATGAATGGGAAAGGTGGATCAACGAGTGGAAGACACTGTATGAAGAAGAAAAAATGGAGAGGCAGAAGCTGAGGGATGGTGAAGCCAGTGATGAAGAAGAGGAGTACGAGGCCAAAGAAGTTGAAGTGGAGGAGTTGTTGGATGTTTCCGAGGAGATTCTTTCCTTTGACTCGGAGCAGTAGTGAGTGTTATTCAGTGTATAGTTTTTGAAGCTATAAAATGAGGTTCCTCAATTGAGATCATGGTGGAATATGGATATGCCCTCAGCAGCAGAGGATTTTCACTAGTTACCAGTTTTTTTTTTGATATGTTCTGTAGGGCCTTAATGTTTGTTATTTATGACACTTTTTGTTCCTAAATAGGAATTTTCTCTTGTGATAACACTCGCCAGAATTATAATACTTATCCCAGCAACAAGAAGTGATTTTAATCGCTTAATGACATTCAAAGTTTTGTCCCTTGCCATGAAGATATGCATTGAAGTTGGGTATTTGAGGCTCATTATATAATTATGCCTTTGCTCTGACTTTGTTTCCATTTTTTCAATGGAAGCAGTTGATGAATATTTTGTTTGGTATCTGCTCTCGATCTGTGTGTTTAGGAAGATTAGCCTGTTTATAGAGTTCTTGTGGTTTCTTTGTGCTCTATGATTGTTTGTACTCTTATGCCTGTGCCTTCGATGTAATACTTGCTTCTTTACTCCTGGTGAAAGGGAAAAAGTAAAGAGTAATAACAACTGGTTAAAGGTTGGTTCCTTAACCTGAAAATGTTACGAAGAACTGTTGGATATTGCTGAGTTTGTGTTTCAATTTCTACTACTATCTGAATTTTTATGTTGTTTTTCTGTTTTGCATTTAGCTGAAGCTATTTTCTTCCAGTTGCTGCATATTTGATTGCTTATCTACTTATTGGAAGCTGAACTATATACTTATTCGAATGATTTTCTAATATTCTAGTTCATATTTTGTGAAAGAATTTTTTTTTTGCCTATTCTACTCGATCAAGTATACTATTTTTTTTCGAATTTCGCTCAAAACAATTAGGTAGGAAGTTGGGTAACAAATCGGGTTTAATTTTTGGATTATTTTAATAATTTAATTAAATAATTTGTATTAATTAACTAACACAATAAACCAATAACAATAAAAAAAACACAATAAATTTGATAATAAATAAATACTTATAATAAAATACAATAAGAAAGTCATAAGTATCAATATATTATATATAACAAAGTCATAAACATTAATAAAACATTAGAGTTTTAGATTTTTGAATTTTTATTTTTAGAGATTAACACACACACACACACACACATATATATATATGCAAGTAGGGTAGGGTAGGGTAAGAATATGAAAATTATATAGGTATTCTACATTCCTATTCGATTTTTTGTGGAATACCAAAAGATTTTTCCTTGGTCTACTTGATTTTTTTTGGATAGCCGATTAGTAAAATCGGATATAATAGGGTAGGATAAGAATTTGCAAATAATCAAAAATTTAAACACTTCTAATAGTGTATTGTGTACAAACTACGTAGTCTGCGGATTTCTTGGTGCATTCTGGTCCGTCGAGACTCGTGTCGGTGACAACTTCCATAGTGGAAGTCAATTTTTAAAATTCCAATACACCTCGTTCGGGAAAAGTCTCAAACGAGGACATTCGACCTAAGGAGTGGATTACGGTGATCCAAATCCACATCGCTTTGGTGAGTTGTTTGTGATTTACTTGATAAATTTTGGGTTTTGGACATAATACAATAATGATTCTGAGAGAGTTTTAATTTGCTGTCAAGTGAGTTGAGCAGTAAAGATGGCACAGTTGATGCTATTACTGCTTTGCTTGTACTTCTGCTCTAAACAATCACATTGAACAACTTCTCTTCGTGACGGGTGAGACCAATAAATGTAAATGTGTATCAATTTAAACTGCTGGTTAAATCGGAATTCAATTCAACAAAATCTTATCTTAGTTATTTAAAATATGATACATAAATTCAAGATTAAATTACACATATAGTCCTCAAACTATAATATTTATGTAAATTAAGTTTTTAAAGTTTTTTTTGTCAATTGATCCCCTGAATTCTCTTATTGTGTCAATTGAGTTATTCTGTTTACTTCCGTTTGAGTGTGTCACTCACGTGACTATATGGTACAAAAAGATAAAAAAAAATAACAGAAGGACCACATTACAATACTTTTGATATATTGATGGTGCAATGCGAAAAATTTTATCTCTGAGAGTATAATATAAAAAAATTTAAATCTTTTAGGGTGTAAAATATAATTTGCCCAAATTAAAATGATGCCCCAGTAATAATGAATATTTCATTAATGGAGCATGCATGAAGTATAGTTTTCTATAAATAATGTATGCATGCATTCTGAGAGATTTTTGTTGTCAACTTCGAGGGAGTTGAGCCGTAAAAGATAGGTAAAACTGTTATATGTAATGGAATCAAGACCAAATATATACTCGAGGAGGGTAACTTCATGATCGACCATGAAATATTATGATCGATTATGAATATCTCTGTTCAGTTGTAATTTCACCTTTAAAAGGTGTAACTTGACCTCATAAAATAGTAATTTTGACTTTAAAAATTATAATTTCTACCACTTTTTTATTTGTAACTATTACTTCAAAAAAGTATAACTTAATACCGAAATCGGTACCATAGTTTTCCTCTATACTGAATACCACTTTTTTTTTATAGATACTTAGCATGTGATAATTTGTTTTATGTCAACCATAGTCTAAGACAAATGGCTTGTCAATAAATCACAAATGTGGGTTACTGGATGTGGGATTTGTTAAAAATAGGTTTTCATGGTATGGTGTAAAAATTATAAGGGGATCGAGACTAAATAGGTTGATCTTAAATATACATTATTTTATTTTTGGACAAAAGAAATTTAATGGAAAGAGCAAAATAAGGGTGAAGAGATAAAAAAGAAAATGGAACTTAAGTATAAAAGGAAAAACTTCTAGCAATTGACATTTACAAAGAAGCACCAATCTACCAAAACAAAAAGCTAAGAAACTATGGATGCACATAATCATCCACCACTTTGAAATGAAGATCATCATTTTTTTTTGGGGGAGAAACAAGTTCGGACTCGTTTTAAACTATAAGGATAAAGTTCTATACAATATCGAACTAACATTATCAATTGGACTCGAATTTCGACTCAAATCTGATTTATTAACATACATTTATTCAACTAAGCTGACACTACATCAAATAATTACATGCATCAAAAATCGTACTCCAAAAAAAAAAAAAGTTTATAAGCCTCATAGCAACCATTAAACATGTGCCATCACCAGGTGCAAGTAAAATTGATGGAAGGCAACTAACCAAATTTGAGTGTAACTTACATGGCTAATCCCTCGGTTTTGATGAAACTATATAAAGACCCCTTATTATTGCAGAAATATTGCAAATACCCCTTTCAACTTCTGATATCCATAACCTGATAAATAAGAGTTGATACCCGCAAAATTGATTATTAAACCTCATTTTTTTTCTTTTTTTTTTTCATGTTTACAAAATTGTTTTACTCATGGAAATAATTGCAAAATGATAATCTTTTCAACAAAAACTCTATGAAAGATGTCTATGTTATTTTCCAAATATCGAAGAATTATCGTTATATGTTATCAAAACTCAAAGGGTACTCATATAATTAGCTCAAAAAAATAACGTTAACTCAAAGGGAAGGACAAGTAGTTGGAAAGATCTTCCAGCCAAATGAAGTAATGCTCCTGACAGATATGTCGAGTGATTTATCTATATATTCATTTTACGTACCGAAAAAAAAAATTAAGAGCAATATTAAGGATCCAAAATTTGAGATCCAAATCAATAGGGATTATTAGATTAGATTAATATGGGTTCCGTTGAAACAAATTAACGGATCCACTCATCCAATAGTCTCAGCTCATTTGGTTAGGATCCAAAATATCTCTTATGAAGTACATATTGAAGTAGGTCTAGGACTTATTGGTGTGATATGTTAGTTCAACATCAATTGTCAAGACACAGATGAAATAGGTGGCACAATTGATGCTGTTATTGCTACTACTTCTGCTCTCAACAATCACATTCAACAGCCAGTTCTCTCTCCATGGCATGTGAGACCAATAAATGTAAATGTGTCAATTCAATAACATATGTTGACGTGCAACCCTAAGCCTTAGATATCGACTGACTTAGAGCTTTTTTAAATGTTTGATAGGAGAAAGTTCATTTAATATACTTAAGTCGGTATTGTGATCAAGAATGCAGGAAATAATAGTATGTTTACATTTCATTTTTGGGTATTGAAAAAGACTGAACCGTCCATGCAGATTCATGTAAAAAGCTTGTACTTTTAAAAAAGATTTTAAGTGATTTATTGATTGGCATTTAGTCATACTAAGAGCTCTCCTCTCTCTCTCTCTCTCTCTCTCTCTCTCTCTCTCTCTCTCTCTCTCTCTCTCTCTCTCTCTCTCTTGTTTGGTATAGTTGGGCAAGTGATGCTTTTTCAAAGAGAAACATTCACACAAAGGGGACTAAAATCAATTATATTGTGACAATCTACCAAAGGGTCTTTAAAGGGATAGACATACATGCAAATGCCTCTAGTACTATCACTGTGAAACCATCCAACGTGAGCCATAGACATATGTTTCCATAATTATGCAACATGGTAGATAACCACGAATGGTGATGAGTTTTTGTGTTGAAACTGGGATTGGTGCGTGTCACGTCATGACGTTTTGTCGTGTTATCTTGAATTGTGACAGGTTTATATTAATAAAAAAACCATTTTATCTCAAAAGTAATACATATAATATCAAATCAAAAATCAGATGTTCCCTTATCGCAATATTAGTTAAATAGGTTATTTGCGTCCAATATAAACCCGACCCATTTGTCGTTAACTTCAGTTATTCTGGTCATTTTTGAGTTCATCTCACGTCAGGTTCCTGTTAACATAGAAAATTGACGTCGTTAAGCACATGCCTTAGAATTGAGAAAAATTGGCAAGGTAGCTAACCTTCAACATGTCGGACATCATGACCTGATCTTAAAAGGTTGTCAAGATTCAACCTCAGAACGTCTGAATTTACAACTCGTCTCTGTTGTCACGTGAGCTATCATGTAATTCAGGCACCTAATATTCAACATATGGCTCTTAGCACCATAAATCTTTGACAAAAACTCGGGATAAAATCAAAAACTAGGGCGGTCCGATATATGTTGAGGCTCAAAATGACAAATCTAATTGAGACCTTCTAATTTTTTTTAATACTAAAATGTTTTGTTAAAAAAATTATCATGCCTGTTCAAATGCACTCAAATTATTGTATTTCAAATCTTGTTATCATAGCTTATCAATAACTAATATATCCTAAATGAAAATGAAATTAGTGCCGATGAGTGAGAGAGAGAGAGAGAGGTAGTGTGATTGAGAGAGAGAGAGAGAGAGATTGATTTGTACGGTTTCGTTTTTTGTTTTTTTTTTTTTTCTTTTGCATGATTTTATGAAATTTTTTTGTGGGCAGATTTTTGTATGGGTATAGACCATTGAACATAGAATTTTCTTGTTGGCTTAAGTTTTATAAGGTCATTTTGGTCCGACCTTAGTCACATAATCCTTTAAAACTCTTCATGCTCTTTGGGAGTGAATTTTCCGTATGACTATAATATTAAGGGTTTAGAGTTTAAACCTTTGTGCTATGAACATATGAAATATTGGGCATTTATTATAAGTGAGGCCTAAAACCCACACTTATTTACTTTTCCTATTGGGCCCGACCTGGTGAAAACTGTCTCAATCACGTGCTATTTATAATTGTTACTTTGTTACAACATATGTATATAAAAGATACACACAATCAGGGGTGGTGGGCCAACATTTTCTCACAATGGAGATAATCTAAAATTTATAATAAATTTAGAACTTCATGGTAACATTATTCTCCTGAAAATATTAAAATTTAGACTTTTTTTATATTTACATTTTGATTAAAAAAACACGAATCGAATCAAAAGACTTCATTTGCAAACCATACCCATATCACATGTTGCAAACAATAAAAGTAGTAGTATTTATGAAATAATTGTTTGGTATAGTGTAACACAAGAAGACTTATCATGTTTATAAATTGATTTTCAAGAAAGATTCGCATGACTACTAGTTTGGTGGTTGAAATTATGGATCCTAAGAGATGATCTTCTACTAGCTATAACACCTTTTTTATCCCTGATCGTTGAACCAACAAAAAAAAAATAAGAGAGAGAGAGAGAGAATTGTTGATAACTATAAATTTCGTATCTAATTTATCAATAAATTTGTACATGTACTCTTTTAAGGAATGAGATCTAAATCAAATAAACTTTTATACCATGTAGTCCAAACCTACGAATATAGGATATCGATACGAAACGATACGGATACAGGAATACGAAAAAATCTAAAAAAGTAAAATACGAGTACGGTCAAGATACAACTATAATAAAATATATTTAATATTTTTATTATTTTGAACCAACTTAATACTTATATGTTTTGGTAATTCTTTAATACAATTAAAAAAATTAGTAATTCTTTTTAGTTTCAAAAAAATATATGTCGTATCAGTATGGTATATTCACAAAGTAAAGTGATTAATTAAAGGAATCAAAGCTAATATTTATCGAGTCAGATTTATTTAGAGGTAATTTTTGCTCAGATTATAATGTAGTAGATTTATTTTATACTCTTTTGACATGTAATTGTAGATAATATTTAAAAAATACTCATGTGTTTTTGAAGTAATATGAATTCTTGCTAATGTATTATATGATATGTGAATTTGAAAGGAAATGTTAAAAATTCAACTCAAAAATTATATATGTTGCTTGCATACAAAAGTATCCGTGAAGTATCCTAATATTTAATTATTATCGGATACATAAAAGGTGTATCAAATACGTATTTTTGAGTATCCGACACATACCGTATTAAATACGATATCCAATACAGGTACGTTGATTTCAACGAAATATTTGTAACTAATTTTTCTCTTTTTAATATCACACCCAACTCCGTGTCTTGCACTTTGCCCAACCAAAGCCGAATAAGAGCCATTATCTTTCTCACGGGTAAAATACAACTCTTATTCCATAGAAATCGATCATCACCGCCCACTACCACTAACAGTGAACTAAAAGTGGTGAATTAAAAAATCTAGCTCTTCTTCCATCCACGGTATATAATAAAACACAAAATTTAATGATATCGTCGGTGTCTCAATGTCAAGAGACAGCCCAAATAAATCTTTCCTAGTACTGAAACATTGGACTAATAAATGTCTGATATTTCATAGTATATAAATGTAAGACATAAATGTGCGAAAAGAGTTGGTCCAAGAAAGTTAATTCAGATTAGTATTGTTTCCTTAAATTACAGATCACTCGTTTGGACATGATTGAGATACGCCAACCACCCCCAAAATTACCCAAATTTGAGGAAGAGCACATGCTTCATGCCAGATTATATTCCATTAAGGCAGGCACCTCATGAAAATCAACTATAATGGGTCTGTTTGGAACTAGTTTTTTTGGGATGTGAAACAGAAGTTTAAAAAATAAAATAAAATAAAATAATCATAATTAAAAAAAACACTTGAAACCGTTTGGAGTATTTTTGAAAAAAAAAAACAATTTTTCCTTGAAACTTTTGGATAAGCTATATTTTTCAATTTTTCCATAGTGCTGATAAATGCTATTTTTGCCCAAAAAGCTAATGAAAAAACCGTCCAATAAACCCGGATCCAAATGAACCAAACTTCTTTTCCTCAAACCAAAAAAAACTAAGGTTTTTAGCCAACTCCAAACATACCCAATAATAATTGAGTAAGGCTATTGAGACTAAAAAAATTGACCTAATGATGCGACAGTGACATAATCCAATAGTATTATTATAACTATAATTGCTAGACTTTTGTATAGAACTTTGTTAGTTTATACATCATTAAGTCGATAAGTTAGATCATTTTTTTTAATTACGTCCCGATAACAATAATTATATTAGTCTGTTAGACTGTTACAGCTAGGTACGCACTGATGTGACTTGTGGCACCAAGTTTTTGCCATATTCACTGAAGGGCTCCTCTATATAAGGCCTCTTTGAGGCAACCCATTTCGTATGGTAAACAAAGCAGCAAAGAATGGCTTCAAAACCAGGATTGCTCACTGACTGGCCATGGAAGCAGCTTGGAAGCTTTAAGGTACTTCCCCTTTTGCCCAATCTCTGATTTCTTATTCGTTTAAAAGCACAATCGAGAGGACAAGACAAGACTCTCACCTAAACACAATCGAGAGGACAAGACAAGACTCTCACCACTACGGGGTCTGCAAAGAGTCATACATAAACGTACGACGATCTCTCTTGATGCACAAATTCAGATTTTTTGTTGCAAGCCAAATTCCTAAAACAGTGTTTTGATGAGAATTTGATGTACGTTTTTAGTTCGGCCAATCAGCCTTACGTACCCATTATACTATTCAACATGAAGAATATTATTTGTACTTAATTTGATGTTCTAGATAATTATATATGTTGGATAAAAAATAAATTTCATCTAAAATGGAAACTTACCACTAATTCAATCCCCGTAACAAATTAAGTCATTGATGAATTAGCTCCTCAAATTAAGTCTCCATCACATTGTTCATTCATCATATGGATTATTATGGTAGTTTTGTACCATTAAGTAGCATATTAAGAGAGAGAATGAAACTTTGGGAAGCCATGTCTTCCTCCAACTTCAAGTTAGCTGGAAAAGGGAAAAAAAAAAAAAGTACAAGTAACATGAAGGTGGTGGTTGATATATTTATGCCATGAGGAAATGCATCTTTATTGACTCTCTCTCTCTCTCTTTCTCTCTCTCTCTGTGTGGCCAGTTGGTAGGCATGGTTTTATATAATGCAATTAGTAATTGACATGCTAGTCTACACTTCCTAATAAACAATGAAAGTATGTGAAGATTAAACACAAATGACAACTTCATAACAACCCCAATAAAGAGTTCATGCCCATTTTAAGTCATACAAAAGTATTACAATACCCAAAAAAAAAGAGCACATAGAACGATTAATAGCAAGATTAAAAGCTTGATGACCTGAAAAATTAATACCAAGATTAAAACCTCCAGAACGAAATGGCCGCAATTCTCGTAGAAGACATCTCGATTGATCCAATATGGCGATATCCATATATAGTTTGTGAAATCTGGAAGTTACATAATAGTTGCGAGTCTAAGATAACGTTTTCGGGTTTTTTGAAAAATGTTGTGCTTACATGATGTTGTTCGATGTTGGGTGAAGTATGTGATTTTGGCACCGTGGGTGGTTCGTAGCATGTATTTGTTTAGTTTGAAAGGAGAAGGAGAGAGAGACCTGACCAGCTTTCTCATACTACCGTTTCTATTGTGGAGGATGCTACACAACCAGATTTGGATTTCTCTCTCTCGTCATCGAACAGCTAAAGGAAATAACAGGATCGTTGACAAGAGTATTGAATTCGAGCAAGTTGACAGAGAGAGTAACTGGTCTGTATAACACTCTCTCCCTCCCTCCCTCTCTCTCTCACACACACACACACATACACACTCTCTCTCTCTCATACCCACATGATGCGATTGTATGATATTTACATAGTTCGTCTATAAAAATTCTATCTATGTCCACAGTACCAAGCACGGATGTTTCGATCTACACGTATGAAATAATTAATAAAATATTTATCATTATTGGATAATTGTCGGATATGCGTATCCACGATGGATACATCTGCCTTATATTTAGTGAGATGTTTTGTGTAAGAAACCATAAATAACACAAATGGGAATTCCTTATTTCAAGATGTTCATTTAGACATATATCACATATTTCACAAGTTTTGTGAAATTTTTACAATTTGTTTGACCTGAATAATGAGTTTGTATGGCTCGTGTCAAACCCATTGAAGTCTATTGCAATTAAAAGCCAAGTAAAAGTTGAGGATTCTCAAGAGAAAAAACATGTTCAACCTTAGAATTACGTAGAATATTGGACTCAAAACACCATTAAACCGTCCCTATGTCAATTACATTCTTGGTCTCTCATATAAAGTGGACAAAAAGGATAGACACCAAAATTTACTACACAACCCATGTCACTCTCTTTACTTTCTTTTTTTTTTTTTTGCAAACTTTGGAATAAGTTTTAGGTGCACACTCATGTCGTATCGTTGGTGTTGGCAGGGATGACCAGATATTGTTTAATGGAATTATATTTTACATCGCAAGCATGGTAATCCCGGGAACTTCTAACATGCCCATTTGGAGAACAGATGGCGGTATCATCATAACCTTGCTTCATATCGGTCCTGTAGAGTATCTCTACTACTGGCTTCACCGAGCACTGCACCACCACTACCTCTACTCTCGCTACCACTCCCACCACCATTCCTCCATAGTCACCGAGCCCATCACATGTAAAAATAATATCACTCTATTTCATTTACTCTTTTAGTTTTTTACACTTTTTATAAAATAAATTTTTAAAAAATTGGATCATTAAGTGTTTACCATCTAATTCGTGTAATTTTTTTTTTTTGGCAGCTGTTATTCATCCATTTGCAGAGCATATAGCATATTTTTTGCTCTTTGCAATACCAATTTTGACGACAATTGCAACTGGGACGGCCTCGGTTCTAGCCATCTTTGGTTACGTCACTTACATTGATCTTATGAACAACATGGGTCACTGCAACTTTGAGTTGATTCCTATGAAGATTTTCTCCAACTTTCCCCCTCTCAAGTACATGATGTATACACCTTCGTAAGTATCGTAACTTGTTAAAGAATTTATAGGCGTTCGATCCATGAATGTAAGTCTTATGGGTTGAACCAAGTTATAACTGTGGTGTTTTTTTTTTTTTTAATCAAAGTTGTTTTCATCCAACAGATACCACTCTCTTCATCACACCCAATTCCGGACCAATTACTCACTGTTCATGCCTATCTACGACTACATCTATGGTACCATGGACAAGTCCACCGATATATTATTTGAAACTTCACTACGACGTCAAGAAGAGTCTCCCGACGTTGTTCACCTCACCCATCTAACTACGCCAGACTCAATCTACCATTTGCGTCTAGGTTTCTCATCACTTGCCTCCGAACCTCAGGATTCCAAATGGTACCTCTGGTTAATTTGGCCAGTAACGTATTGGTCCATGATCATGGCTGCCATCTATGGCCGTACATTCATTTTGGAAAGGAATGCTTTTGAGGAGAAACTCAAGCTACAGTCATGGGCAGTACCAAGATACAGTGTACAAGTAAGAATTATTTTATGGCTCTCTCTCTTTTGGTTATCTTTCATTTTTTGTGGGAAATATCTATGGTAGTAGTTCAGTACCTCGTGAAAATATTGTTTGAAACAAGTTACGAACAATGAAGTCAGAGTTATGACTCAAACAAGATAACACCATAACTTAAATAGTTTTGGATCAATTCCAAAAACTTAATTAGGATCGATAATCGATCTCAGTGGAAAATTGACATGTTTGAGTACCTGATTTTCTAGCAAATTTAGAATATCCATTGTTCTGCAGGTTGTTTCTACAACTGGTATTCTTTTACCTCTCAAAACTTTGACTAACTCATCTGTATTCTTCAGTACTACTTCAAATGGCAAAGAGAATCTATCAATGGGCTGATTGAAGAGGCCATACTAGAAGCAGAGGCAAGAGGCATTAAAGTCTTAAGTCTAGGTCTTTTGAACCAGGCCAGTTTGTGCTCTCAGCTCCAAAACTATTTCTTAGTATCTGTTATTTTTTCCAATTTTCCCCTCAATCAAATAATTTCATATTTTGCAGGGGGAGGAACTCAACAGAAATGGAGAGATATACATCCAAAGGTACCCTCAGCTAAATGTGAAAGTGGTGGATGGGAGTAGCTTGGCAGTTGGTGTTGTTCTCAATAGCATCCCAAAAGGAACAACTCAAGTTCTTCTAAGAGGCAGACTTTCTAAGGTTGCTTATTCCATTGCTTCTGCATTGTGCCAAATGGGTATAGAGGTATGTCTGCCAGTTAATAATCATCCAATTCATTGCTGCCCAACTCAAGATGTGTTCCACCACACGTGCTTTGGGCTCACACTAACCTAAATGAAACTAGCCCAAACTCATTGTTGGAAATAATGAGTTCGAGTCACGAAAGTAGTCTCTCGTACATAGTGTAAGATTACGTACATTTGACTCCTCCCAAACCCTAAAGTAGAGAGAGCTAACCTCTTGCACTGGTTTAACCTTCTCGTCAATGAAGACGACGACTGGTTTCCTATACTTGTCGAGTTCAAGTATGGCCCAGCCAAACAAATACTTCGAGACAAACCTACTGCATGTGGAGCAAAAAATCCTTTTATGAATCACAGATCCAGCTGATTTTATCTGGTCCTATCAGACCCAACTTGTTTGGATGGTAGAACGGGGAGAGGGGGAGTTGTGCCCATTCTCTCTCCGGGCACGAGGCAGGAACATCAAAAAATGTACACCTAATTCTGCCTTGGAATAAGTACATAAATAGCTTCTCCATATACTATAATAAGAATACGTAGATCTAATCCTTCCTAGGTCTCAAAATAATAGAAATTTTGCTCACTACACTATTATTCTATTGTGAATGAATGAATGAATAAAGGTTTCATAATATTCTAACACTAGTTACTATTATGTCAGGTGGCTACCTTATATGAAGATGAGTATGAGAAGCTTAAGCTAACCACCAACTCTCAAAGTAGTTTGCTACTCTCAAGGACTTATGCTCAGAAGGTAAATCTTTTAAGGTCAATTTATTCTTGCTAACCTAACCCTTCTACCCTAATCATCTGAAAAAACATTTATATATTTTCACAACATTTTTTTCAAGTTATCTTATTGAAACAAAAAATACAATTTCATCACACACACACACACACACACACACACATATACACTTAATTTTGTACATAATTATTCTACTACACATTTAATTAAGCTTAGAGAAAGAGAGCAAACTCAAATAAGAAAAACGAATTAAAAAAAGTATTAGTCCTTAAAAAGTGTTATCAAACCATACTTCACTATTTAATTATAAAATGAATAAAACAATGTGAGAGAAGTTTAATGCCACAATTTGTTGAAACATATATATATATATATACACACACACACACACTTAGTTTTGTACATAATTATTCTACTACACATTTAATTAAGCTTAGAGCAAGAGAGCAAACTCAAATAAGAAAAACGAATTAAAAAAAGTATTAGTCCTTAAAAAGTGTTATCAAACCATACTTCACTATTTAATTATAAAATGAATAAAACAACATGAGAGAAGTTTAATGTCACAATTTGTTGATATATATATGACAATGAATTTCCACAGACATGGTTAGTGGGAGATGGATTGACGGAGGAAGAACAGTTGAAGGCATCAAAAGGAACATTGTTCATTCCTTTCTCACAATTTCCTCCAAAGAAAATCCGCCATGACTGCTTCTACCAGTACACACCAGCAATGGGTACCCCCATGTCTCTCGAGAATTTGCACTCATGTGAGGTTAGTGACTTCAATTCTTTTGAAACTCATTAAGTTCTATAGAATTCCTTTTGTGGTCTTTTCTGAAATCTTTCCATGGTGAAAAAATATTTAAAAGTCTAAGGACCACACTTGTTTTCGGCTTATTTTAAGAAGTATTTGTAATCTTAGCCGTTTACCGATAATTTCTACCATTGTGTTTTGCTTGTCATGAACATCCACTTTCGAGTCAATTCACGACACCATCTGTAAGAATAATGTCTTTTTTTGCATCAGCAGACTTTGTGTCCACATAATTTATACTTACACAAGTTTTTCTATATGATAATATGTATTTCATCATTGAATAGATTCATCTTTATTTGGGCAATGATGTTTTGTGACAGAACTGGTTGCCAAGGAGAGTAATGAGTGCTTGGAGGATAGCTGGGATAGTACATGCCAAAGAAGGATGGAATGTTCATGAGTGTGGAAATAAGGTTTTCGACATTGACAAAGTTTGGGAAGCCAGTCTTAAACATGGTTTCAAACCTTTGGTTACGGCCTCTTAACCTAAGATTTAATGCATGTTATCTATTCTACAACCATGAAATATCACAATTATTACTATTTATGTATTTTGTTGAATGCACAATTTATAGCATAATTGTTATATGAGTAAAGTTGTGTACACTACATTTTAAGGCTAAATTTCTTGTACCAAATGATGGGGGACAATAACGAGCATTGGATGTTTAGTGAAAATCGGTAGAACCACTACTCTAACAACTCAAGTTAATTTAATGCAAGAAATTTTGAATAACAAAAATTTAGTGAGTGTATCATTGTTGTTAAGATATTAATTGGATTAAGATTTTCTTTAGCATTTTTTTTTTAATTTTTCTCAATGGTAAATCATCTACATTATCAATGTATTCTACCTATACTCCCACTTATTGGTATATTTTTAGTCATACAAAATAAAAAAGGCTCTCAAGTGCTGCTTTTGATGTGTCATATAAACAACATGAATTATATTTTTTGGACATCAATAAATTAAGTTAAATTTTTAGTTTTCAATATACTACTCTAACAACATTAGGTAAAATAACAGTATTAAACTCTAGTAAACAACATAAAAATAGTAATTTAAATGTTAAGGAACTTCTAGTGTTATTACTTAAACCAAATTACATCATAACCTCCTCTAACTAACTTATAAACGTAACCTTATCTTCTATTAACTTTTCATACTTCACCCAATTCAGTAAAGGGCCAAAATGCTGCCAAAGGGACAGAAGTTGGCACCAACCTTCCAGTTCCTTTTACTAGGTTAGGGAGCCATCTCCAGTGGCGATGATTGATGATGGGCGTGATCCATAGCCGATGTTGGCTAGAAGCAATAACAGTTGGAGCACCGGCTAAAAAAAGTTGATAATGAGAGAGAACAGTTATTTTTATTTTAAAAATTGAAATACCCAATAAGTATCAATAAAGAAGAATCTGGATATAGATATATTACAAGACGAACAAGGACACCCCAACCCTAGCAAACAACGATACCATGAAAAAGGAATAAACGATAGAGCTACATTTTTATTTCATTATTTGCTATGGGTTTTTGAAGCATCAAATTATATCATGCAATTATGTGGCACAGAAGGGAGGGAAGAGCAATCTCCCCCTACTAAAGACAGAATGGCTGCCCTCATGTCTATGCATACTAGGTACAATTAAAGACACACAACACAGACCAAAATGGATTCATTCATGCAAAGGCAAATCCATATATGCTTAAATGATTTGATAGTGTGATGGTTATCAATATAACAGTGGCATCGTTAGCTAGACACGCACCTGTGAGCAGAGGCAACTTTGTTCGTGTGTGCATCTCTAAATAAGTTGAGACGCCATTTCCTCCTAGCAAATATGAGAGCAGCAGCATTTCTGTGAGTTTAGTGCCAGAAACAGCTCTAAATATTTTGAGAGGCCATTTCCTCCTGGCAAATATGAAAGCAGCGACATTTCTGTGAGTTTACTGCCAGAAACAGTTGTTGTATTGAGAATGACCCGGACAAAGCCATGCACTGAAGAAGATCTTCCAAGAAAATAGGACCTGCTCAGATATTCAAGGCAACCTTTGGCCTAGGGTACATTGCATTGCTTATGCCATAATGTACTGATATCAGAGCCGTCAATAAGTTTAGCTTTGTCAACTGATGATGTATGTCACCCATAAGGTTTAAAAGTCAGCTCAGTTCAGCCATTTAAAGGCCACAATCCAAGCTCAATTTCCATGCTATATCCTCCCTTCATTCTCAGTCAAACCATTTGAGACGACCTGTGGCCCTTGGTGGTGTTTTTCATCAATTTTTATTATGCATGACAAGGAATTCCACTGGGCCCTTAACAAACATCACCATTGGGAAGCAGAATATCACAAATCAGGACGCCCATAACCAAGGGTTGATTTGTCACTTCAGTTCTCAAACATGAGATCATTGACTTGGTTGATGCCAATATCAGCTATGGGTTCAATGGGCTGCTCATGTTTTTCTGCCGAAAAGACAAAGCTAATAGGATCCCTGCTGAATTCATCTGCAAAACAGAGCAGAAAAAGATAACGTAAAGAATTCATACGCCAAACCCACTCTGAAGCCATTTGCACATCTAACTGCATGAGAAATTTTGCATTATGTCAACAAAACCATACCAATCTGGAAAAAAATTCTCAAAAAAGGAGGACCTCTTGAAATTGAAAGCATAACCTTGAAATGAACTTCAAAGCTTACCAAACATTGTGCTGTAGGAAGTTGGATGAGGGGTTGCCAAGAAGTTGAGTCCAGTGTAAAATCCAATTGCAAATACCACTGTCACCATAGCAGAAGCTGGAACCGCTAATGCCCAGTACCTGAAAAAGGGAAGCAATATTCTAACAGCATAATAACAGAGAATAATTCCATTGCAAGTCTCATGGGGGTTGATTCGCAAATTTCTCAATGACTTTCTGGACTTGAATCTAAATTGTTCAAATTTTCAGATTTGTACCACCAAATTTGTTCGATTTGTTCTTTGTGTAGTTCACCAAAGAATATCCCAAATTATCAAAGTACACATTCAAACTTTTAGCGTAGTTTGTTTGAAGTATAAAGTTGTCACTCTTCCACTTTTCTTTTAACTGGACTTCTTTATGTCGAAATTTAATCATGCACAATCAACCAGGAACCTTTACTGAGGTTATGCAACCAAAGGTGTTATTAAAACCACGAGAAAGGAACTCAGCAACTCACTAAAGCTAAGGAACTGAAAATAAACCAACATGGTTCTCGATACTGACCTGCTAGGGTAGTAAAATATCCCAACAGAATGCAGCCAACTCTCAGGAACATATGCCCATACCAGGAAAATAACTGCTTCACAGAAAATAATGAGTTGCATAAGACTTTCAGAAGGCACCAAATCATGTGATTAAACCCTAGTAGTGGTATATGATCATAATCTGCGAATCGAGGACATCAAAATTGTGAAGTAACCAAAACATTTCAATGTAATAAGGACTTCAATTGCCAACTAGTGGGAACCAGCAAGAGGCCAAAAAAAAAAGCAGTACCGCCTCAATATCAAAGCAATGTGTCTGCCATAAAATCTATTCATCAGATTCCATCGAATATGTTCTGCCGGATGAGTGATACTTTCAAGTTTCAACTTTTTATTATATGAATCAATTTACCAGAAGTGATCCATCAATGCAGTCAATTTGAACAAATTTTATGATTGAATCAGAACAAATGCGTAGTGGCATCACTCTTAGTTTTACATGGCTGCATGTTCTGTAACATGCCAGAAGTGACCAAGCATCAGCAGTGCATCAGGCCTAGAAAGCATAATTGTCTAATTCACAGTACAACAGAAATCATACATGAATCCAGAATATTATATATAGAAACATACCGAAGTTGTTTATTCTATCATAGCAAAATCCAATCTAAAGATGCTTAAAGACAGAAAATTGAAACAATCTCAAATAATACATGAATTCAGAAAATTACGCATAGAAACATACCGAAATTGTTTATTCTAGCACAGCAAATCCAATCAAAAGATGCTTACAAACAGGGGCGGAGCTACTGCTGGTCTTAGGTGCCCACCTGAATTTTTTTTTTGCATTACCTATATGTGTTTTGTTCTTGCCCTCTAAGTGCTCCAAGTTGTGCCCACCCAAAACAAACCAAAAAATTTGAGTTCACTCAAAACAATCCACTAAATTGGTTCCATTAACTCTTAGATTTTTTAAAATTACGGCTTGAGTTACGATTAGAAATTGTAATTTGACATTTTTCTATTCCAATTTGCTTGAATTCTTTGGTTCGTTGTGTACTTATATTTGCTTTCTATTATAATTTCTCTTTTAATATATTAACGATAAATTTAAAATAGAAATTGTATTTTCTACTTGTATTTGCTTCGTGCTACAATTGCTTCATACTCATTCTTTTTATTAATTATTTGAAACAATTATGGAGAAATACTTTAAAAAGTCTATTATGGAGAAATACTTTAAAAGAAAGTATATTGTGGAAAAAAACTTTAAAAGAAAGTCTGAGTTAAAGTTATTACCATTAGAGGTGTTAATGAATTTTTTGGTGTTATATATAATTTAAAAAATTTATATGTATCATTTATTCTAACCAATAGGAAATCAAAGCTAGAACTTGCAATTAGTGTTTCACCCTAGTATAAATTTCTAATTATTGCACATCCTAGTATAAATTTCTTGCTCCGCCCCTACTTAGAAAACAGAATAATACATCTATTCCATAGAACTAATGCAACTAGGCCACATCAAATCGACCAAGCATTGATAGAAATTAAAAAGCGAAGAGACATGAGTAGACCTGTGGCAACGAGAGTTGAAATGGACCCTACAAATCCATAAACTTCTGAGGGCTTGGGGCCACGCTCTCCAGAAACACAAAACCCATAACCCTTTTCATCTGAATCTGGAAAGAACACAGTCTCCCTCTTATTGTTAGAGAAGCCGAAGATCCTTCTGGGACTATTCTCAGAACGACAATCTTCCATTGCCAAATTACAGCCTCACTCCCTTATGAAACAACAATGCCCCCTCCTAACTTGCAGATTATAAACATGATGGTTCTGATCATCTTGGTACCTGGCAACGACAATGAACAAATGAATCTCTCAACAGTATCGTCTGAAACCTAGTGAGAGAAGCGCCAATCAGAATATCTATTTCTTGCAAAAGACTCTAGAGCAACTGGTATTAAGAGAGAGAGAGATGGAGGGAGGGAGGCAGATAGGAGCAGTGGAAAAGGCAAGACAAAGAAGGACACGTGTCATTTATAATTCTTGTCTTCACGGTTTGTATTAGGGGGCAACTCGGGCGGGTTGGACAATCAACCCTAATCCAACCCTAAATATATAACCGTCAACTCTAATTCTAATCCTAACCCTACCTCGAGTTAGGGAACTCAATCCGAGCATTGCCCAAGTTTAATTCGGGTGGACTCGGGTTGATAATTTCAGGCTGATTCGGATTATTTTACGAGTTCAATTCGGGTAGAGCCAAAAATAGGTTTCTTGTTCTAAACTTAATACATATATTACATAATATTTACTTAAATTAACAACCAATAATTTCAACCAAATTTTTAACAGAGAGGCTGAGAGAACGAGAAAGGCAAAAAGAACGAGCGAGACAGAGAACGATAGAACAAAAATAAAAAATCAGTATTAATGTTTTATATATATAAATTTTAATTTGTTGGGTTCAGATTGAATTCGGGTTCATGAGACCTTAATCCAAGCTCAACCAAAATTGAATTCGGGTTGGAGTTTTTTGACCCAACCTCAACCCAAGTATTAAAAACTCTTGTCCAAGCCATAATTTTTTCGGGTTAAAATCAGATTGCCAACTTAAGTTGCACCCCTAGTTTATATTATATTCAAGCTAAAAATTATTGGAAAAATTTCAATCACACCCCTTCTAGTTTAACATATTTTCAAGGACATCCCTCTATTTTTTGAATCTTCACTAAAACCTCTGTTAGATTAAAAACATTAATTAGAATACAATTTTACTAAACTTCTCATCATATATTTGAGGACAAACTTCATCCACACTCCCTCTAAATAAGCATATCTTCAATGAGACCTCCCTCTGTTAATTTTTTTTACATATTAAACTTCGGATCGATTAAAATTCGATTAAAGTTAATTAAAAATTTTTTTTACATATTAAAATTTGAGCCTATTAAAAATTATATTTTTTATGTATTAAAATTTGGACTAATTAAAATTATATTTGAACTAATTAAAAATTATTTTTAATCGATTTAAATCAAATTTTAATCAACTCGCACTGAATTTTAATCAACACAAATTTTAATACATAAAAAATATAAATTTTAATTGACTCAAATTTTAATAAATAGAATTTTAATTAACACAAATTTTAATAAGTAAAAAAAATATAAATTTTAGTCAACTCGAAAGCGAATTTTAATTAGTACTAACAACTCAGGTAGATTTCAAATCAACTTAAATTTTAATACGTAAAAAATAAATTTTAATAGGCTCGAATTTTAATACGTTAAAAAAAATAAAATTTAATCAGCTTCAATCGAATTTTAATTAGTTTAAATTTTTATACTTAGAAAAATAATTTTTAATCGATTCGAATTTTAATAAAATTTTATGTAAAAAAATTACTTGAGATTTATGTAGAGGTATTTTTTTGTTAGAAATGGTAATTTAATGGTAGGAGGTATTAGTGATATTTAAATATAAACTAAGAAGGATGTCAGTAATTTTTTTTATAATAGATGGGTTATTCTTGAAGATATAGTAAAGTAGAGGGGTGTGGTTGAAATTTTTTTTAAAATTATTTAATTTTAAAATAAGGTGTATAATACTATGTAAAAAGATTAAAAAATAAATACTTATTTTTTTAGTTATAATAACAATCAATCCTGTTATCCGTACATAATTTTATTCTCATTCATTTATTACTTGTTTCGATCGATCATGTTATTTTCAATTATACGTCATACCATATTCGTGTCATGGGTAAAATTATATGTAATGTTAGATCAATTAAAATTAGGGTCAAAATTTGACACGACACGATTAACTGACACGAATTAATGTGAGACCTTAACGGGTTCGGGTGATAAACGGGTTAACCTATTTAACACGTTTAATAAATGGGTCGTATTCCGATGAGACCTGTCAACCTGTTTATCTATTTAAAAAATTAATATAATAAAAAATTATAATTATTTTTAAAATTTTAGTCAGCATTTCTTGCTTCTTTCTTCTCTTTTTCTAGCTTCTACAGATGAGATGAAACTTGATATGAGCTTGGGAACTGCGGTGGTGGTGCTAGAGGCTGTGGTGGTCTGAGCATTTGGAATTTACATTCGAGCTTATGGCTTATTCAAATGTTTGGAGGAGTTCTTGTTGTCATTCGTCTCCCTAGATTCATTCTGTATAAGCCATAAGCTCTAACTGTGATTTTGTTTACTCTGCGGCCCTAAGTGAGTGAACAAGTTGGCCAAAGTTTACTTCTCTCAAGAATGAAGCAGAAGTGAAGCACTTGAAGTAGTTCATTTATATGATCGGTGTGTTTCGATTATTGGTTTATCTGGCTATAAGTGTATATATCATTACCTTCTCTGTGCAGACCATGGTTTGAGCATTGTTCGAGGGTCTCCACAATTAACATAATGAAGGAAGAAGAACACAATAAAAGCGTTTGGATCTACACAGTAAACACAATGAAAGCTTTTGCTTGAATCTACATCGACAAATTTAAATGAATGAGACCTCTCATGCCTATAAAATGCTACGTCCCATTTCTTTAGTCATTCAACCTTCTCACTTATTTTTCAAGTCGCAGCCAACTGAAAATCTTTTAATTAAATAATTTAGTTGTTGTGGGTAATTAATGGAGTTTAAAATTTTAATAAATAATTTTTTTTGGTGTGGGTTAAAATTTTAGTAAAATAATTTTAATAAAATTAAACGTGTTAAACGAGTCGTGTCGTGTTACCCGTTTATCAAACGATTTGTTTTCGTGTTTAAATTTTTTACCTGTATTAAACGTGTCGTTACGGATTTACATATTTTTTACTCGTCACCCGTTTAACTCGACACGTTTACACTCCTAACTAAAACAAGAGATTACATGAAACCAAATGATGTATTATTAGTTTATTACCATCATAATATAGTTGGTCTAACTATTATTACACCTTTGAAATTAAAATTTTTCATTATAGTAATGTCATGTTATTTTTTTTAGTTCAACGGTCAAGGGTGTCCAGGCTAATTCACACATATCTCGATTAATTTTT